AGACCAACACAGAGTGCTGTGTAGAGGCACTGCTCATGACCATGTATAGCCCTATGGGCCTTTGATCTATGAGCCCCCCAGCACCAGCTGACATATCTCCACCAACAAGGAAGGCAAGCTCTGTTGCCTGCTCCTAGGATAGATGCTGCAGTCATGGTGCTGAGTAGTTGACAGACCATGAACCCCCTTAGTCCGGCTGCTCCTCACTAGGCAGCATCGTCTGTCAGCTACTCAGATGAACAGCCTTGCATCCCCAGGATGAGGCCTACTTGATTGTGATGGATAAGCTTTTTGATGTGTTGTTGCATTCAGTTTGCCAGTATTTTATTGAAGATTTTTGCATCGATGTTCATCATGGATATTGGCATGAACTTTTCTTTTTTAGTTGTGTCTCTGCTATGTTTTGGTATCAGGATGATGTTGGTCTCTCATAAACTGAGTTAGGGAGGATCCCCTCTTTTTGGATTGCTTGGAACAGTTTCAGAAGGAATGGTACCAGCTCCTATTTGTACATCTGGTAGAATTTGGCTGTGAACCTGTCTGGATCTGGACTTTTTTAAGTTGGTAGGCTATTAATTGCTGCCTCAACTTCAGACCTTGTTATTGGTCTATTGAGGTATTCAACTTCTTCCTGGTTTAGTCTTGAAAGTCTGTAAGTGTCCAGGAATTTATCCATTTCTTCCAGACTTACTGGTTTATGTGCATAGAGTTGTTTGTAGTAATCTCTGATGATGGTTTGTATTTCTGTGGAATCGATGATGATATCCCCTTTATCATTTTTTATTGCATCTATTCAATTCTTCTCTTTTCCTTTTTATTAGTCTGGCTAGCAGTCTGTCTATTTTGTTGATCTTTTCAAAAAACCAGCTCCTGGATTTATTGATTTTTTGAAGGGTTTTGTATGTCTCTATCTCTTCAGTTCTGTTCTGATCTTAGTTATTTCTTGTCTTCTGCTAGCTTTTGAATTTGTTTGATCTTATTCCTCTGGCTCTTTCAATTTTAATGACAGGATGTTGATTTTAGATCTTTCCTCTTTTCTCATGTTGGCATTTTGTGCTATAATTTTCCTCTAGACACTGCTTTAAATGTGTCCTAGAGATTCTGGTTCATTGTGTCTTTTTCATTCCCATTGTTTTAGAGGGACATCTTTATTTCTGTCTTCATTTCATTGTTTATCCAGTTGTCATTCAGGAGCAAGTTGTTCAGTTTCCATGAAGTTGTGTGGTTTTGAGTTAGTTTCTTAATCCTGAGTCCTAATTTGATTGCACTGTGGTCTGGGAGATTTGTTATGATTTTCATTCTTTTGCATTTGCTGAGGAGTGATTTACTTTTAATTATGTGGTCAATTTTAGAGTAAGGGCAATGTGTTGCTGAGAAGAATGTATATTCTGTGGTTTTGGGGTGGTGAGGTCTGTGGATGTTTGTTAGGTCTGCTTGGTCCAGATCTGAGTTCAAGTCCTAGATATCCTTGCTGATTTTCTGTCTCATTGATCTAATATTGACAGTAGAGTTTTAAGATCTCCCACTATTATCGTGTGGGAGTCTAAGTCTCTTTGTAGGTCATTAAAAACTTGCTTTATGTATCTTGGTGCTCCTGTATTGGGTGCATGTATATTCAGGATCGTTAGCTCTTCTTGTTACATTGATCCTTTTACCATTATGTAATGCCCTTCTTGGTCTCTTTTGATCTTTGTTGGTTTAAAATCCATTTATCAGAGACTAAGATTGCAACCCCTGCTTTTTTTGCTCTCCATTTGCTTGGTAAATCTTTCTCCATTCTTTTATTTTGAATCTATGTGAGTCTTTGCATGTAAGGTGGGCCTTCTGAATACAACACACCAATGAGTTTTGACTTTTTATCCAATTTGCCAGTCTGTGTCTTTTCATTGGGGCATTTAGGTTGTTTACATTTGAGGTTAATATTGTTATGTGTGAATTTAATCCTGACATTTTGATCTAGCTGGTTGTTTTGCTCATTGTCGATGCAGTTTCTTTGTTGTGTTGATGCTGTTTACCACTTGGTATGTTTTTGTGGTGGCTGGTACTGGTTGCTCCTTTCCATGTTTAGTGTTTCCTTCAGGAGCTCTTGTAAGGCAGGCCTGGAGGTGACAAAATCTCTCAGCAATTGCTTGTCCATAAAGGATTTTATTTCTCCTTCACTTATGAACCTTAGTTTGGCTGGATATTAGATTCTGGGTTGAAAGTTCTTTTCTTTAAGGATGTTGATTATTGGCCCCACTCTCTTCTGGCTTTTAGGGTTTCTGCTGAGAGATCCACTGTGAGTCTGATGGGCTTCCCTTTGTGAGTGACCTGACCTTTCTCTCTGGCTGCCCTTAGTATTTTTTCCTTCATTTCCTCCTTGCTGAGTCTGATGATTATGTGCTTTGGGGTTGCTCTTCTTTAGGAATATCATTGTGGTTTTCTCTGTATTTCCTGGATTTGAATGTTGGCCTGTCTTGCTAGGTTGGGGAAGTTCTCCTGGACAATATCCTGAAGAATATCTTCCAGCTTGGATTCATTCTCCTCACCACATTCAGGTACACTGATCAAATGTAGATTATATCTTTTCACATAATCCCATATTTCTTGGGTGCTTTGTTCATTTCTCTTCACTCTTTTTTTCTCTAATCCTGACTTCTCATTTTATTTCACTGAGTTGTGTTTAATCTCTGATATCCTTTCTTCTGCTTGATGGATTCAGCTATTGAAACTTGTGTATGCTTTGCGATGTTCTCATGCTGTGTATTTCAGCTCCATCAAGTTGTTTATGTTCTTCTCTAAGCTGGTTATTCTAGTTAACATTTCATCTAACTTTTTTTTCTAGGTTATTAGTTTCTTTGCATTGGATTAGAACTTGTTCCTTTAGCTCAGAGAAGCTTGTTATTACCCACTTTCTGAAGCCTGCTTCTGTCAGTTTGTCAAACTCATTCTCCATCCAGTTTTGGTGATTTCATCTTTTTAATGCAAGTTTCTTCCCATCTTCATGGATTTATCTACCTTTTGGTCTTCGAAGTTGCTGATTTTGGAAGGAGTCTCTGAGTGGACATCCTTTGTGTTGATGATGAAGCTTTCTTTCTGTGTTTTAGTTTTTCTTCTAACAGTCAGGCCCCTTTGCTACAGGACTGCTGGAGGTTCACTCTGGACCCTGTTTGCCTGGGGATCACCTGCGGGGGCTGCAGAGCAGTATGAGTTGCTGCCTATTCCTTCTTCTTGTATCTTCATCCCAGAAGGGTACCCACCAGATGTCAGCCAGAGCTCTCCTTTATGAGGTGACTCTTTGGCTATATGGGGGTCAGAGAGCCCCTAGAGGAGCCAGTCTGTTCCTTATCAGAGCTCAAGTGCTGTACTAGGAGCCTCATTGTTTCATTCAGAGCTGCTGGGCAGGGATGTTTAGATCTTCTGCAGTGGAACTCACAACCCCTGCTTTTCCCAGGTGCTCGGTCTCAGGAGGTTGTGGCTTTATTTGTAAGTCTGTGACGTGTTTCTGCCTTTTTTCAGAGATGCCCTGCCCAGCAAGGAGGGAGTCTAGTCACAGTCTGCCTGTAGAGGTGTTGCTGAGCTGCCATGGGCTCTGCTCAGTTGTCATGTAAACTTTCTTGCAGTTTTGTTTACATGGGTAAGGTTTGAACTGCCTCAGAATGGCAGCCTGCCTCAGTAATGGTGGCCCACCTCAGTAATGGTGGCCTGCCTTGGTAATGGCCAACTGCCTCTGTAATGACCAACTGCCTCTGTAATGACCGACTGTCTTGTTAATGGTGGGCATCCTTCCCCCCATGGGGCTTGAAGGTCCTGGGTGGAGCACAATCTGCTGCACTGGCTGTAAACCCCTCAAGCCAGTGGGTTTTAGATTGCTGGTCTTTGTGGGGTTGGACCCGCTGAGACTGTTCCCTTGGCTCCCTGCCTTCAGCCCCTCCCTTTCAGGGGAATGGGCAACTCAGGTGTCTGTCTCGCAGGTGTTTCAGGTGCCAGTTAAAAGGGTCACCCGGATTTGTGCTTGTTTTTGTGCTGGAAACCTGTGGTGCTGGCTGAAACACCATGCTGGAAACCTGTGGGGCTTGTCAACCGGCAGGAATCTTCTGGTCTGTGGGTCACAAAAACTGCAGGAGAAGTGTAGTATTGGAAAAACAGTGCCTGGAGTGGCTGAAAAGCCCTAATGGTCTTTGTTGGGTAGGAGGAAGGGGTTCTCTGGTCTGCTGCACTCTCTTGGTGAGGCAGCACCCCACCCTGCCTGTGCTCACTCTCTTTGGACTACACCCACTGTTCAACCAGTCCCTTTAAGATGCACCTGGTACCTTGGTTGGAAATGCAGAGGTTGCTTGCCCTCTGTGCCTCTCTTGCTGTGAAGGGTGCTCTGGAGCTTCTCCTATTGAACCATCTTGGTTGCTCCCCCTATTTTTCTTTTAAAGATGGGGTCTTTTTCTTCCTCTGTCACCCAGACTGGAGTCTGGCAGTGGCAAGATCATAGCTCACTGTAACCTCAACTCCTGGGCTCAAACAGTCCTGACACTCAGCCTCCCAAGTAGCCAGGACTACAGGAGCATGACCCCATACCCAGCTACTTTTTCTTTTTTTCTTGTTGTAGAGATGGCATCTCACTATGTTGCCTAAGCTGGTCTTGAACTCCTGGCTTCAATCAATCCTTTTGCCTTGGACTCCTAAAGCACTGGAATTATAGGTGTGAGATACCACACTTGGCCTATAACTTGTATTAGTCCTTGAAACTGTGACATGGTAAAAGCCCCATAAAACTGCATATCTCAACCACACCTCGGCTTTCTGTTGAAACTGCTCTCTGTGAATCTGACGTGATAGGCACCAGTCCAAACCTAAGCCATCTTGGCCCCTGTGACTTGTAATAAGTAACTAAGGTCCATAATTTCCACCCCTCCGGGCAATGTGTAAACTAATGCTTATCTTGACTTCTGTGAACCACTTAAGTATAACAATTGAAATGTCCAAAGCCCCTCCCCGTAACCCCCCAAGTGGTACTTTACAGAATGTCCAAAGTCCACTGTCCCTTGGAATGTCCAAAGCCCCTCACCTCCAACCCCACCCAGGAGGTGGTTTACAGGCATAAAAGGTCTTGACACCCTCCTTTCGGGGCCATGGCTTGGAGAGACACGAGTCCTCTGTGGCCAGTGGCAACAAAGTCCCTGCAGTTTAACATACTTTTGTCTTAGTGTTAACTTTCTGTGCTTACTCCAGTACAACATCTGGAGGGTCCAGCAAGACTTTCTCTTCATCCATCACCAGACAAAAGCCATCTCAGAGTCTTGCCATGGCAGCCGCTCCCACCTTGAGGACCTCTAGGGGAGGCATCCCCTGAGACGTTTCAGGGCCCCAGAGTTCTGGCCCTGTGAAGGACAGGCGACTACCTGGTCAACATTCACCCGAAATTCCTCAGGGTCCTGGGAACCTCCGGAGGTAAGTCAGGTCTGGAAATCAGGGGACCGGTCCATCAGGAGGGCCTGAGTCATTGCAACTCTGACCAGGCAAGTCTATCGTGAGATGTCACTGGAGGCTCGGGTTGCCTCAGTGGAGGCTCGGGTCATTTAGTGTTTGGCTGTTTTTCATAACCTCAGTGTGTGTGAGAGAGTGAGTGTGTATATATGTAGTCCCATGGCTGGAAGGCTACAGGGGCTTGTACGGGCCTTCGTCCGTGGTTCCATGGGGACATCATAAGGCATAACGGTGATTCATCTCAGGACTAAAAATTCTGAGGTGACTAGGCCCAGGATTTATACAGGTACACCTTAGCGAAGACACTCTGAAACATCCCTCCAGGGACATGGCTGGGCAGGCAACAGACTGATCTTCTTCGGGGGACACCCACGTGTGTTCATGTATCTCTTATGTGGTTCTGTCTTTATTGTAAGTCCTCTAGTTTCCCAAGGCAGTTACTAGCTAATATACAGTGGTTTAAACCTGTTACTCTTAAAGTAAATATTTGGCTAAGTAATTAACTTCAAAAAACTCCAATTGAGTTTACACTCCTGGAAATAACTGTTCTCTTTCTTTTTCTTCTTCTTATTCTATCATTGAGGCCTCATTCTTCCTCTTTTTCATGTCCCCGCCCCCCCACAAAAAAAATTCTGCCCCTGATGACTTAGGTGTGGTTTTCTTCTCTGTCTTAGGAAATCAAACTTTAAATAAAAAAGTACCAGCCCTCTTTGCCTGTTCAAGGTGAAAAAGGAGTAATAGTCTCTTCTGTCAAAAAAAAAAAAAAAAGACAGAAAGAGGAAAGAGAGAGGGAGAGGGAGAGAGAAGAGAGGAGAGAGGAGAGAGAGAGAGAGAGGAGACAGAGAGAGAGAAGAAAGTAGAGGAGGGAAGAAGAGAGAAAGGAGAGAAACAGAGAAAAGTAGTAGAGGGAAAAGAGAGAAAAAAAGAGAAGAGAGAGAGAGAGAGAGAAGAGAGAGACAGACAGAAAGGAGGGAGAGAGGAATTTAATGCTTTTCAGAGTCCCTGTGTGTGAGAAGCATTTTTTTTTCTTTTTTAGCCTGACTGCCAGCTCTGCCCAGCTTGGGGAACTTGCAGTCACTATGGCTTGGCTGCCAGCTCTGCACAGCTCAGCTGGCAGTCACTGCAGCTTAAGAAGCCTTTCCGACTCTTTGTAATGCAAATGCCCTGTTAGCACAGTAGTTAAGTTATAGGACCTGCAACTGCCAGGTCGTTGGTACAACTCCTCAGTAATTTCTTGAGGGGATTTAAAAGCTAAGGAAAAACCAAATAAGGTTGTGTAGCTCCCTGGCCTGGTACCCTGGTCCAATGCATAACGACCAACTTCAAGGTTGGGTTCTCAGGCTTCTGACTTGGAGGGTTCAGAAGACAGAAAGATGAGGGAAAGTTCAGAACGTTTTGAAGACTTGTTAAATTGTTGTGAACAAAATGCAGAAAATGACATGGACAATGAATTCCAGGCTAAGGTGGTCTTAGATGGAGAATCGGAACTCACTGGGAACTAGAACAAAAGTCACTTTTGTTATGAATTAGCAAAGAGGTTAGAGGTAATGTGCTGCTGCCCTAAGGATCAGTGGAATTTTGAACTTGAGAGAGATGATTTAGAAGAGCTATCTGGTAGAAAAAGTTTCTAAGCAGCAAGGTGTTCAAGATGTGGCCTGGCTTTATCTAAGAACATTTGCTCATATGTTTGAATGAATAGTTGAACTGAAACTGGAAGTTATATTTAAAAGGAAGCAGAGCAAAAAAGTTTGAAAAATTTGCAGCCTAACCATGTGGTAGAAAAGAAAAACGCATTTGCAGGGGAGGTGTTCAAACTGACTGCAGAAATTTGCATAAGTAAAGAGGAGTAGGAATGTTAATAGCCATGACAATGGTTGAAAGGCCTGGAAGGTATTTCAGAGACCTTCATGGCAGATGCTCCCATTACAGGCCTGGAGGCCTAGAAAGAAAAATAGTTTCACGGGCCAGGACCAGGGTTGTTCTGCCCTGCACAACCTAAGGAAGCTGCTCCCTGTGGCCCAGCTGTTCCAGCTCCAGGCTTGGCTAAAGGGGTTCCAGATATGTCTCAGGCCACTGCTTCAAAGGGTACAAATTGTAAATTTTAGCAGCTTCCATGTGGTGTTAAGCCTGCAGGTGTGCAGAAGGCAAGGGGTAAGGTTTGGGAGCTTCCGCCTACATTTCTGAGGCGATATGGAAATGCCAGAATGTCTAGGCAGAAGTCTGCTGCAGGTTTGTGACAGTAAGGAAGGGAAATGTGTAGCTGGAGTTCTCACACAGTGGGGCACTGCCTAGTGGAGCCGTGAGGAGAGAACAACCATCATCTAGAGCCTAGAATCGTAGATCCACTGATGGCTTGCACTGTGCACCTGGAAAAGCTGCAGGCACTCAATGCCATGGAAGCAGGCATGGGGGCTGTGCCCTGCAGAGCCACAGGGGCAGAGCTAACCAAGGCCTTGGGAGCACATTCCTTTCATCAGTGTGGCCTGGATTTGAGACATGGAGTCTTGCATTGGCACCTGTATCCCCTTTGTTCTGGTCGATTTCTTTTTTTTGCAATGGGAGTATTTAGCCAATGCATGCACCCTCATTTTATCCTGGGAGTAAATAGCCATTATTTTTTTTTCATTGGCTCATTGGTGGGAGGGATTTGCCTTGTCTCAGATGAGACTTTGGACTATGGACTTTTGAGTTAATGGTGAAATGAATTAAGACTTGGGGGATTGTTGAGAAAAGTGGATTGTATTTTGCAACGTGAGAAGGGCATGAGATTTGGGAGGCATCAGAGGCAGAAAAATATGGTTTGGATTTGTGTTCCTGTCCAAATCTCATGTTAATTATAATTCCCAGTGTTGGAGGAGGGGCCTTGTGGGAGGTAACTGGATCATGGGGGTAGATTTCCCCCTTGCTATTCTCATGATAGAGAGTGAGTTATCATGAGATTTGGTGGTTAATAAGTGTGTAGCGCCTCCCCTTCCTTTAGTATTGTCCCTCCTGCTTTGGCCATATAAGACTTTGCATTTTGGGAAGGGCTGCCAGTGGTATTGTGGAAGGACTATAGGGAGACTTCCTGCTAAACTTTGTAACAATTTTGGCTGAGCATGAATTTTCCAGGGCAAACAGGAAGTGCAGATTCGAGCACAGAAGCCATGGCAGGTGGGAAGGGGTGAAGTCTGAAAGCCATATCTGCTTTCTCAGCAGCGAGGCTTATAGCCTGGGGCAAGAACTCAGCCCTGCATACCGTCTGCCTGGATACAAATCTAGTACTTTGGTGGAGCATGGTGGGAGTGAGACTGGCCTTGCTGGCTGCCTGGGAGCTGTCTGAGGCCCATTATGGCTAATTTTCCCCCACTTCCCTGGTGAGTTGTATGATGCAGCAGAGGCAGCCATAATCCCCCTGGGAACGTAACTCACTGGCCTGAGAACCACCAACCCCCACAGTGGCTGCAGCAAGTCTTGCCCAAAGAGAGTCTGAACTCAGATATGATTAACCTTGCCCCCAACTGATGGTCTTTCTTTACCTGCCCTGGGAGCCAAATATAAAGGCATAATCTCTTGGAAGCTCTATGGCACTGCTCATTGCCTGAGAAATCCAAATGCTTATCTAGGCAGGCTTGTATCCCCACTATACTACCACAGCTGATGCTGTGTTGAAAGCACCACCTCCTCGCCGGTGGTCAGCAAATTCAAGACTTTGGAGCAACTCATAAAAGAAAATCCCTGCTTCAAAAAAGGAGAAAAAGAATAGCTAATTCCACTGCCTGCAGCATCCTGGATAACACAGGTCCCGAGTCTGTCCATGTGACAACCTCACTGCTAGCACAACTGGCATTTGAGAAAACCAGCAGCTAATAAAAACTACAACCAAGGACTCTCATAGAGTCCACTCCACTCCCCTGTTACCTCTACCAGAGCACGTGCTGCTGTCCATGGCTGAGAGACCAGAAGACAAATCACATCCCAGAACACTTTGTGCGCATTCCCCAGTACCAGCCCAGAGCCTGGTAGCTCCACTGGGTGGCTAGACCCAGACGAGCAATAACAATCACTGCAGTCTGGCTCCTAAGAAACCTCATCCCTAAGGGAAGAGGCAGAGCAGAAAATCAAGGGATCATCCTGTGGGACAAAAGAGTCTGAACAGCAGCCCCTGAGCCTCAGATCTTTCCACTGACATAGTCCTAAATGAGAAGAAACCAGAAAAACAGTTCTGGTAATATCACAAAACAAGGAACTTTACCACCTCCAAAAGGTCACATGGGCTCATCAGCAATGGATCCAAAACTTAAAGGCGTAGCAATCCTGTTTACAGTTTCTCCTGCAGGCACTTTACTGTATCTTGAAATCATTGAAAGTATTTGGAAGAGGCATGGCTTTAGGCAAGTGTTTCATTCTTTTTGCAAATCCTCTTTTTATTTATCTTTAAAATAAGGATTGTTGCAAGATTGGATTTAGATAATACATGTGTGATATTTAATACAGAGGAGGGATTCAGCACAGTAACTCCTGTTGTACAGAGCTCCACATATAGGCAGTTCAGAAGTGCTTCCCAGGACCCTGGCACTGGTGCTTGTCCCTCCTGCTGAAGTTGTTTTTCTTGATGTCCAATGGCTGAATTCCAAATTCAGCACATAGGCTAGAGGAATATGGGCCAAAGGAGTTGTTTTAGCTACTCATGCTGGGAATCCATGAGTCCAAGACTTGCTCAGGTAGATCTGTATGTAAAAGGAAATGGGTGTGGCTTCTGAAAAAGCCTTTTAAATTCTGATTCAGGACATATATGATTAGATGCTACTTGATTTTGTTCCACAGAATTTTGGGCTGAGAAGGACTTGAGAGGTAAGGTTCTGTGATCTAAAACCAGTTTCAGACTTACTCTTCTGGAAATAAAGAGGGCCCTCCCTGTGCTTATTTTTCTAGGATACTGCATTGGAAACTGAGTCAGGGACCCATTGGTGAGAAGGAAACAGTGAGTAGAATCACATTGATCTGGTCCTGGAGTTTGTCTGTTTCCTGCTTGGCAGCAGGAGGTCTGAAGATGGGAAGGGGCCCTACTCAATCGTACTATTTCTCTCTCTTTTTCTCTTTTTTCAGACGGAGTCTCACTCTGTCACCCAGGCTGGAGTGCAGTGGCACTATCTGGGCTCACTGCAATCTCTGCCTCCCAGGTTCAAACAGTTATCTGCCTCAGCCTCCCAAGTAGCTGGGATTAGAGGTACCTGCCACCACACCCAGGTGATTTTTATATTTTTAGTAGAGACAGGGTTTCACCATCTTGGCCAGGCTGGTCTTGAACCTCTGACCTCGTGGTCCACCCACTTTGGCCCCCCAGAAAGTGCTGGGATTACAGGTGTGAAGCACCGTGCCTAGCCAATTTCTCTGTTGGACAAAAGGATGTACAACCTGGTAAGTCCTAATGGGATCGGGGGATGAAAAAGAAAAGATAATATCATCAGTGACAAAAATGTTCAGGATGAGTTTGTGAAACGAGTTGAAGATTTTTTCCCCTATATAATTTGACTGAAAAGAAAGTTAAGTTCTTCTTAATCATGGAGAATTCCAGAGAGCATGTAAGGCTAAGGAATATATCTCTGATACATTAGTGTACAGGTCCAGTCGTAGAGAAGCTTCTTTTGTTCTCATTATTCTCTGTTTTCCAGTGACCTTTTACATGGCTCATATCAGAGAGAATTGAAATGGTCACATCAGAACTTTTACATGAACTGTTAAAAATTCTGTCTCTCTTCATTATTAAACATTTTTAGAATGTTCTAAATTAAATTACATATAGTTAGAAAATCCTGTTTCTATTTGTTATAATTGCAGCAATGCAATTATACTTTTAGTTATTTTTAAATGTACAGTTACTTTTGACTCTAGTCACCCTGTTGTGCTATCAAATACTAGATCTTATTCAGTCTTTCTGACTACTTGTTTTTGTACTCATTAACCATCCCCACCTCCCTCCTACATCCTAATACCCTTCCCAGACTCCGGTAACACTCATTTTACTCTCTATCTCTGTAACTTCTATTGGCTTAATTTTTAGCTCTCATAAATAAGTGAGAACATGGACAGTTTGTCTTTCTGTGCTTGGCTTATTTTCCATCTATGTTGTTGTGAATGACAGGATCTCATTCTTCTTTATGGCTGAGTAGTAGTACTCTGTTATGTATATGTGTCACATTTTGTTCACCTATTCTTTTGTTGGTAGATACTTGCATTGCTTCCTGATCTTGGCTATTGTGATCAGTGCTGCAACAAACATGGGAGTGCAGATATCTCTTCAGTGTACTGTTTTTCTTTCTTTTGGGTGTATATCCAGTAGAGAGATTGCTGGGTTGTATGGCAGCTCTATTTTTAGCTTTTTGAGGAAGGTCCAAAGTGTTATCCATAGAGGCTGTACTAATTTACATTCCCACAAATGGTACAAGGTTCCCTTTTCTCAGCCTTCTCTTCAGCATATTTAGTACTTGTCTTTTGGATATAAGCCATTTTAACAGGGGTGAGGCATCTCATTGTAGTTTTGATTGAGATTTTTCAATAATTAAAAATTTTGAGTAACTTTTCATATGCCTGTTTCTTACTTGCATGTATTCCTTTGAGAAATGTCTATTGAACTCTTTTGCCAGTATTTTACTCTGATTATTAGATTTTTTCCTGTAGAGTTGTTTGGGCTCTTTATATTTTCTTGTTAGTAATCCCTTAGCAGATGAGTAGTTTCCAAATATTTTCTCCCATTCTGTGGGTTGTCTTTTTCTGTTGTTGATTGTTTCCTTTGCTGGCAGGAAGCTTTGTAACTTGATGAGATTTGATTTGACAGTTTTTGTTTGGTTTCCTGTGCCTGTGCCTGTGCAGCCAACAATGCAGCCTTTCCCCATTGCTTATTTTTTGTCAGGGTTTTTGCAGACCAGATACTTGTAAAAGACAAGCCATGGGAAAAGACTGCATTGTTGGCTGCATGTGTGTCTTCTTCAATAAATGGTGCTGGGATACCTGACTAGCCATAGGCAGAAGATTGAAACTGGACCATTTCCTTATACCATATACAAAAATCAACCGAAGGTGGATAAAAGACTTAAATGTAAAACCCAAAACTATAAAAAGCCCTAGAAGACAACCTAGGCAATACCATTCTGGACAAAGGAACTGGCAAAGATTTCATGATGATGCCAAAAGCAATCACAATAAAAGCAAACATTGACAAATGTGATCTAATTAAACTTAAGAGCTTCTGCACAGCAAAAACGCTATGAGCAGAGCAAACAGGCAACCTACAGAATGCGAGAAAACTGTTACAACTATGAATCTGACAGAGGTCTAATATCCAGCATCTATAGGGAACTTGAGCCAATTTATCAGAAGAAAAAACCCCATTAAAAAGTGGGCAAACAACATGAACAGACACTTTTCTAAAGAAGACATACATATGGCCAACAATCATGTGAAAAAAGCTCATCATCACTGATCATTAGATAAATGCAAACCAAAACCACAATGAGATACCATCTCACACCAGTCAGAATGGCTATTACTAAAAAGTAAAACAAACAAACAAACAAAACCAGATCCTGGCAAGGTTGAGGAGAAAAAGGAATGCTTCTACACTGTTGATGGGAAAGTAAATTAGTTGTGAAAGGCAGTTCAGTGATTCCTCAAAGTCCTAAAGACAGAAATACCATCTGACCCAGCAAGCTCATTACTGGGTATATACCCAAAGGAATATAAATCACTCTATAATAAAGACACGTGTGCGTATATTCATTGCAGCACTATTAACAATAGCAAAGACATGGAATCAACTTAAATACCCATCAATTGTGGACTGGATAAAGAAAATCTGGTACATATACCTCATGGAATACTGTGTAGCTGAGAAAAGAACAAGATCAAGAACAGCTCCCAATGGAGCTGGCAGCCCTTATCCTTAGCAAACTAACACAGAAACAGAAAACCAAATATCTCATGTTTTAACTTATAAGTGGGAGCTAAATGATGAGAACACATAGGTTCATGGAGGGACCAACACATATCCTCTACTGGAGGTAGAGGATGGAGTGTGGGAGGAGGGACAAAATTAGGAAAAATAAGAATGGATACTAGGCTTAATAACTGGGTGACAAAATAATCTATATAAGACACCTCCGTAACAGGAGTTTACCTATATAACAAGCCTGCCCATGTGCACCTGAAACTAAAATGACCCATAAAATAAAATAAATCTCTCTCTGAAAAAGAAAGAAGAATTTCCCTGACCTTTTAGTTGTTGTAAGCAAAAACCAAAATCTCTCTACCACAGGTTTTGAGAGCATCAGGAACCATTCATTTATGATACCACTCATGATTTGTGAATATGCATGAGCTCACTAGTAAAATCATTTGGTGAAGATTTGTCTTTATCACTATGCTGTAAGCTCCAAGAGATTAGAGGCCATTCTTATGTTGCTCACCACTATATTGCCAATTCCTGAGAGAGGGCCTAGCATCTAATGGGTGCTTATTAAATGTTTGCAGAATGAATGAATAAACAGGAAAATCCACAAATTAATTAGTGAAGAACCAATTTCCCTGGAATTGTAGCAAACCATCCTTTTCATAGATGTTGTCTCTACCTTCAGTGTAGACTAGGACCTGATCACTTCTCATCACTTTGAGTGAAATGCCCTGGCCTCATCTCTCACTAACGATGACCTGTAGTATCACAAAACTGCCCTAACTAGACTCCCACTTCTGCCTGTACTCCCTTACTGGATGCTGTTGTCAACACGGCCACCACAGGCATCTCTCTTCGAAAGATGCATCAGATATGTCGCTTGTGTGCTCAAATCCCTCCAAAGACTTTTAATCTCACTTCAAGTAAAAGAGAGTGATGAAAATGACCAACAGGGGCCTTCACCAACTTGCCCTCAGTTTCTTCTGACCTCATCTTTTTTCTTTTCACCTCACTTATTCCAGGCATACATTGCTTCCAAGTTTTTGCACTTGCTGATTTCTCTACCTGGCATTCTTTTCTCCACATAATGTTCATTGTTTATACCCTGCCTCCTCTACATTATTGTTCAAATGTCACTTCTCAGTGTGGCTTTCTCTGTAAACATACATACATAATGTCTACCACTACTCATATCATCTTAACATAAGCCCGGCCTTCCCTCTGGCCCTTTAGTTGATGATAGTATTCAGCCCTTCCTTATTCCTGTTATTTAGAGTATTCGTAAGTTACAGGTGAGGAGAAACCCAGGCTTTCCTACTCCAACCATAAGGGGCAATGAATTTCACTGCAGTGCCTCTGTCAGAAGCCCCAATTGTCTTTAGAATCCCAAAGTTAGAAGCCAGTTGTGGTGGTGGGTGCCTATAATCCCAGATTCTAGGTAGGACAAGGTGGGAGAATCACTCGAGCCCAAGAGTTCAAGATCAGTCTGGGCAACATGGCAAGACCCCATCTCAAAACAACAAAAAAATGAACTCGAAGTTGAGAAAGTTATAATGTCATCACTATTTTAAATTAAGACCTGCTAATCTCATATGTAGATCTTTTCCTTTAGGGGAAATATCAATTGGTGAGAGTTTAACCATTTTCTTCTCCTCCCAACTGAAATTTGTGCTCTCCTTTCATCTCCCCTAGCAATATGTCCTCTATGTTCCACTGCATCAGCAAAAGTTTTGTCAAAGAGTTTGGAAGAAATGACCTGACGCCTGTTGAATGTGGGTACCATGCCATCAAATTACGTCAGTTTGCCGTCTTACAAAAGACAGAAAGACCTTTTTTAACTTTTTGGAAAAAGTATGACTATGCTCTACTTAATTTCTCCCTCAGTGACATCCTGGAGTCAAGTCCTTCAGTCCCAGGTATCATCAGTCAGAGGCCAAGGAGACGAGGGGTAAAAATCATTGGTGGGGGCCGGGCACGGTGGCTCAAGCCTGTAATCCCAGCACTTTGGGAGGCCGAGGCGGGTGGATCACGAGGTCGAGAGATCGAGACCAACCTGGTCAACATGGTGAAACCCCGTCTCTACTAAAATACAAAAAATTAGCTGGGCATGGTGGCGCGTGCCTGTAATCTCAGCTACTCAGGAGGCTGAGGCAGGAGAATTGCCTGAACCTAGGAGGCGGAGGTTGCGGTGAGCCGAGATCGCGCCATTGCACTCCAGCCTGGGTAGCAAGAGCGAAACTCCGTCTCAAAAAAAAAAAAAAAAAAAAAAAAAAATCATTGCTGGTCAGATGGAGTGATGGCCCAGCCTCCAAAAATAACTGAGCACCCAGGAAGGAGTTCTCAGGACCACCCTTTCCTGTAGGCAAGGGGCAAGGAGCAAAGACAAACTGAGACAAATTGAGAATCCTACTAATTATCTGGTTGTAGGTGTTCATTAGGTCATTTAATATTTGCATCAGGCTCAAGAGGTGAAGATGTTATCCCAACTTTACGTAAGAGTAAGTAGAGTGCTAGACATTGATCTGTTCAAAGTTATGTACCTAAGGGCTGGGAACTGTGGCTCATGCCTTTAATCCCATCACTTTGGGGGCCGAGGTGGGCAGATCACTTGAGGCCAGGAGTTTGAGACCAGCCTGGCCAACATGTCAAAACACTGACTCTATTAAAAATACAAAAAAATTAGCCAGGCATGGGTGGTGGACTCTTGTAGTCCCAGCTACTTGGGAGGCTGAGGCACAAGAATTGCTTGAGCCCAGAAGGCGGAGGTTGCAGTGAGCTGAGCTGTACCAATGCACTCTAGCCCGGGTGACAGAGTGAGACTCTGTCTCAAAACAACAACAATAACAACAAACAACAACAACAACAATTAAACAAAAAACAAAGTTATGTACCTGGAACTGGTAGAACTGAGATAGAAACCCAGGTCTGTCTGGCTCCACCCCTTAAACATTTTCCGCCCCCTTGTGCTGCCCTCTGAGGCTGGGTGCTGTGCCTGCTGCAGAGGAGACAGCGTGCCTGGAAGGATAATCCTATGGGTATTCCACATTGTACGTTTGACACCACTATTTCTCAGGGTGAATATTTTATCTCTGTCACACAGTGTCCAGTGGATTTAAACATTTTCCCTCTGTAGTAATTTACATGCACATTAATTGATTAGTTAATTTTCAACAGAGTTTTAAATGAGTGGGAGGGTTGGGGCAAAATATGTCTTTGTTATTTCATTTTACATACCAGCTGTTCTTGGCTAAACCTATGAATTCCTGAATGGATTCTTGGCTAAACCTATGGCCATCTTTTCTTTCCCCAGATAATGATGTGAATGGACCATTACATTTCTGTGATACTATGATCCAAAAGGATGAGGCTGCCATAGATGTGAATGTTGGTGTAAAATTGGGTGTGTCAGGGGGGCACTCTGCAGACCAGAAAGTCTCCCTCAAGTTTCAGGTTGTGACCATCTCAGATCCAAAGCTGGAAGTCTTTCAAAAAAGGTGAGGTCATGGGAGAGGAAGGGGATGGATCAATAGTATCCCAGGAAATTCTTTCCTTGTACATAAAAATGCATCTAGCAGGCCTTGTTGCAGGGATCAAAATCAGGATGACAGCATCCCAGATTCTGCTACTCTTCTTGAGTATTCATACCTTCTGTTACTCAAGTAATAATTATTGGTTACCTAACAAATACTTACCAGAGCAGTAACTACCCACTTCTGTGTTGTTATATTCTTGGGACAGAATGAAAACAAGACAGATATAAATACCTGTCACATTTAAGAGAGAAAATAAGCAATAAAAAATAAATTAACAAAGTATTGATTTAAGTGAGATAAAGACTCAAACTGTTTAAATGACATGTACATTACTGTCTTTGGGTTTATTTTTATTGTTTTCAGCTCTATTGAGGTATAGTTTACAAATAAAATTGCATGAATTAAAGGTGTACAATGTGACGATTTGATGTATGTATATATTGTGAAAAGACCACAATAAAGTCAGTTAACATGTCTATTATTTCAGGTAGTTATTTTTTTTTGTGGTGGGAGCATTTAATATCTACTCCCTTAGCAAATTTCAAAGATACAATGTAATATTGTTAATTATAGTCTGTGTACCCTTTGACCAATGTCCCTCCATTTTCCCGACCCTTTAGTCCCTGTTAACCACCATTATATTTTGTTTCTGTAAGTCTGACTTTTTCAGGTTCCACATATACATGAGATTATACAGTATTTGTCTTTCTCTGTCTGACTTTTGTTCAGCGTAATGCCATTCAGGTTTATCCATGTTGTTGCAAATAGCAGGGTTTCTTTCTTTTCTATGGTGGAATAATATTCCATTGCATATACATACCACAATTTTGTTTTTTATTCATCTGTTGACAGGCACTTAGGTTGTTTTGGTGTCTTGGCTATTGTGAGTAATGCTGCAATGGACATGGAAGTGCAGATATGTCTCTGAGCTACTGATTCAGTTTTCATTGGCTGTATACCCAGAAGTATGATTGCTGGATCTTATGGTAGTTCTATTTTTAGTTTTCTGAAGAACCAACATACTGTTTTCCATATGGCTATATCAATTACTTTCCCATCAATAGCATACAAAGATTTCCTTTAATCCATGTCTTTGCCAACACTAATCTTTTTGTAAAAGCTATCCTAACAGATGCAAAGTGATGTCTCATTGTGGTTTTGATTTGTATGTCCCCGATAAGTAATGTTGAGCATTCTTTAATGTGCCTGTTAGCTGTATGTATGTCTTTTTTGGAGTAAATATCTATTTAGGTCCTTGGCACTTTTTTTTTTTTTTGGAGATAAGTCTTGCCCTGTTGCCCAGGCTGGAGGGCAGTGGTGTGATTTTGGCTCACTGCAACCTCCACTTCCTGGGTTCAAGAAGTTCTCCTGCCTCAGACTCCCTAGTAGCTGGGACTAACAGGTGCACTCTACCACACCTGGCTAATTTTTAATTTTCATTTTTAGAAGAGACAGGGTTTCAACATGTTGCCCAGGCTGGTCTCGAATTCCTGAACTCAGACAATCCTGCCTTGGCCTCCTAAAGTGCTAGAATTACAGGCATGAGTCACCCTGCCCAGCCTCCCATTTTTTAAATCAAGATTTTTGTTTTTGCAATTTAGCTGTATGAGTTCCTTATACATTTTAGATATAAACCCTTTATCAGGTATACGGTTTGCAAATATTTTTGACCATTCTGTAGGTTGCCTTTTTACTCTGTTGATTGTTTTCTTTGCTGTGCAGAAACTTTTTAGTTTGCTAGGTAGAGTACCACTTTTTCTTTTGCTGCTAATGCTTTTGGCATTATATCCAAAACATTGTTGCCATACCCAATCTTGAGGACATTTTTTTCCCCTTTGTCTAAAATGGTTTTAAGTTTCCATGTCTTATATTTACGTTTCTAATCTACTTTGAGTTGATCTTTGAGTGTGATATTAGGTAAGAATCCAGTTTTAGTCTTTTGCATTTAAAAAATCTTTTGCATGTGAAAAGTCTTCAGTTTTGTTGAGAAAACTGGTTAGTTTCCTCAACACCATTTTTTGAAGACTCTATCCTTTATCCCACAGTCTATTCTTGTCACGCTTGTCAAATATTGGTTGATCATACACATATGAGATTATTTCTTGGCTGTCTACTCCACTGGTTTATATGTCTTTTTATGCAAGTGCCATACTCCACTGGTTTATATGTCTGTTTTTATGCAAGTGCCATAAGTTTTAACTTCTATAGCTTTGTAATATATTTTGAAATCAGGAAGTATGGGATGTCTAGCTTTGTTCTTTTTTAAAAATATAATTTTTATTGTACTTTAGATTCTGAGTACATGTGCAGATCTCGCAGAATTGTTGCATAAGTACATACATGGCAATGTGGTTTAGTGCCCCCATCCCCATGTCACTTATATCTGGCATTTCTCCCCACGTTATCCCTCCCCAACCTCCCTACCCCCCACTGTCTCTCTCCTAGTTTTCCCCAACAGACCCCAGTTTGTGATGCTCCCCTCCCTGTGTCCATGTGTTTTTATTGTTCAATACCCGCCTATGAGTGAGAACATGTGGTGTTTGATTTTCTGTTCTTGTGTCAGTTTGCTGAGAATTATGGTTTCCAGATTCATCCATGTCCCTACAAAGGACACAAACTCATTGTTTTTTATGGCTACATAGTATTCCATGGTGTATATGTGCCACATTTTCCCTGTCCAGTCTATCATTGATGGGCATTTGGGTGGTTCCAGGTCTTTGCTATTGTAAACAGTGCCACAATGAACATACGTGTGCATGTGTGTTTATAATAGAATAATTTATCTTTTGGCTATTTACCCAGTAATAGGATTGCTGGGTCAAATGGAATTTCCATGTCTAGGTCTATGAGGAATCGTCACACTGTCTTCCACAATGATTGAACTAATTTACACTCGCACCAACAGTGTAAAAGCATTTCTATTTCTCCACATCCTCTCCAGGATCTGTTGTCTCCAGATTTTTTAATGATTGCCATTCTAACCGGTGTGAGATGATATCTCAATGTGGTTTGATTTGCATTTCTCTAATGAACAGTGATGATGAGAATTTTTTCATATGTTTGTTGGCCTCATATATGTTTACTTTTGAAAAGTGGCTGTTCATATTCTTTGCCCACTTTTGAATGGGCTTGTTTTTTTTTCTTGTAAATCTGTGTTAGTTCTTTGTAGATTCTGGATATTAGCCCTTTGTCAGATCGGTAGATTACAAGATTTTTTTTCCATTCTGTTGGTTGCTGGTTCACTCTAATGATTGTTTCTTTTGCTGTACAGAAGCTCTGGAGTTTAACTAGATCTCATTTGTCGATTTTGCTTTTGTTGCCAATGCTTTTGGTGTTTTAGTCACGAATTCATTGCCTATACCTATGTCCTGAATGGTTTTGCCTAGGTTTTCTTCTAGGGTTTTTATGGTGTTAGGTCTTACATTTAAGTTTTTAATCCATCTGGAGTTAATTTCAGTGTAAGGTGTCAGGAAGGGGTCCAGTTTCTGTTTTCTGCACATGGCTAGTCAGTTATCCCAACACCATTTATTAAACATTGCTTGTTTTTGTGAGGTTTGTCATTACTGTATCCTGGTAGTATAGCTTGAAGTCAGGTAACGTGATGTCTCCAGCTTTGTTCTTTTTGCTTAGGATTGTCTTGGATATGCGGGCTCTCCTTTGGTTCCATAAGAAGTTTAAAGTGTTTTTTTCCAGTTCTGTGAAGAGGATCATAGGTAGCTTGATACTGTTGAATCTGTAAATTACTTTGGGCAGAATGGCCATTTTTACAATATTGATTCTTCCTAATTTTCCATTTGTTTGTGTCCTCTCTTATTTCCTTGAGCAGTGGCTTGCAGTTCTCCTTGAAGAAGTCGTTTACATCCTTTGTTAATTTTATTCCTAGGTATTTTATTCTTTTTGTAGCAATTGTGAATGGGAGTTTTCTCTTCATTTCATTCTCTTTTAGTCTGTTATTGGTGTATAGGAATGCTTGTGATTTCTGCACATAGATTTTGTATCCTGAGACTTTGCTGAACTTGGTTGTCAGTTTCAGGAGATTTTGGGTTGAGACAATGGGGTCTTCTAAATATACAATCATGTCAACTGCAAATAGAGACATGTTGACTTCCTCCTTTCCTAATTGAATACGCTTTATTTCTTTTTCTTGCCTGATTGCTCTGGCTAGAACTTCCACTACTATATTGAATAGGAGTGGTGAGAGGGGGGCACCCTTGTCTAGTGCCAGATTTCAAAGAGAATGCTTCCAGTTTTAGCCCATTCAGTATGATATTGGCTGTGGGTTAGTCATAAATAGCTTATATTCTTTTGACATACGTTCCATCTATACCTAGTTTATTGAGAGTTTTTAGAAGAAAGGGCTGTTGTATTTTGTCAAAGGCTTTCTTCTGCATCTATTGAAATGATCGTGTGGTTTTTGTCTTTGGCTTTGTTTATGTGGTGGCTTACGTTTATCAACTTGTGTATGTTAAACCAGCCTTGTATCCTCAGGATGAAGCCTACTTGATCATGATGGATAAGTTTTTTGATGTGCTGTTGCAATTGGTTTGCCAGTATTTTATTGAAGATTTTTGCTTCTATGTTCATCATGGATATTGGCCTGAGGTTTTCTTTTTTTGTTGAGACTCTGCCGGGTTTTGGTATCAGGATGATGTTGGTCTCATAAAATGATTTGGGAAGGATTCCCTCTTTTGGATCATTTGGAATAGTTTCAGAAGGAATGGTACTAGCTCCTCTTTGTATGTCTGGTATAATTCGGCTGTGAACCCATCTGGACCTGGGCTTTTTTTTGGTTGGTGGGGTATTAATTGCTGACTCAACTTCAGCCTTTGTTATTGGTCTATTCAGGGTTTCCAGCTCCTTCCTGGTTTAGGCTTGGGAAGATGCAAGTGTCCAGGAATTTATCCATTTCTTCCAGGTGTACTGGTTTATGTGCATAGAGTTGTTTGTAGTAATCTTTGATG